AAGTACCCCTGAGAAGAGTCAAGAGGTTAGAAAGTCAACCTTCAAGTCCATTCAACTAAACAATCATTGAGTGCCCACTCCCTGCCAGGCAGTGTGCCAAGCATTGCAAAGGACAGAACATGAATAAGACACTGTCCATTCTCAAGAACTTTACAGCTCACCAAGAGGAAATGACTACGTTACAAGTTCCATACAAATTTAAATAAATGTTATTTGGAACAACAGGCTGCAGCAACTTTTGCCTTCCTAGGAGAGTTGTCATAATTCACATCACTGAGAAAATAAATGGCTGTACACTTACTTTCACTGATAGAAATTAGCAAGTGGTGGAGAGTGGGGGGAATAAAAGAAGGAAAAAAAACGGTCAATTCCAAAGCTTTTGCCAGGTCTTCCAACCCGCCCAAGGGTCAGAGAGGAAGGTTCTTTTTTCAGCAGAGCACACTAATGAGACTTTGGAGTTTGGACCGGAAAGCTAAACTGCTCTGCACAATAAAGGAGGGAACTCGTTGTTCTGGAGCCTGAGAAGTAGGGCCTTAGAAAACAGGCAGGGAGATGTGAGGACAGTGCCCAGCAGCAAACAGGGAGGCTGGAGCTGTGGGGAGAGGGGCCAGTGAGCAATTCCAGAGGCAGGGCAGTGAGGGACTTGTAAGCAGGATATTCCTTACAGATTGCTTACTTTGCTTTAATGTACCTTGCCTTCATCCTTAAACCTTTGGTAAAGCCTGACATTCATCACAAATGCCAAAGATTGGTTTTGGGGAAGTGAGGGGGAAGGAGTTAGTGTGAAGGGTGAGTTAAGGAAATGAAGATTTTCCATGTTTTGGGTAGAATGTCTGAACATTCACAAAATGTGAGATGCAATTAGAATCAGAGAATTCAGAACCAGTGGAGAGCAGAACATATGTCCTGAGAATTGTAAAAATATAAGGAAAAGCACTTTGACTTCCTAGAGGATTAGAGTAGTAAACTTGAATTAATTTTATTTCAAAAATGATGGTGATATTTGCATTTCATAAGGTGACGTGATATAACTGTCCCAGAAGATGTCCAAAGTGCTGGAGGACTGACTCCCGGGAGAGGGATATGACACACTGGGGCAGAGGGGAATGGAATGATGGAAGAGATGCAGGGGTGGTCACGGTTCCTATAGTAGTTCATTTCCCCTCAAATCTTTTTGCAATGAGGAAGGATGCTTCAAAAAGAGACAGTTTTGTTTAATCATTACAACAACCCTGCAAGTAGGTTTTAGCATCGCTAATTTTTAGATCAGAAAATTGAGACTTATAAAAGTTAGTACCTTTCCTAAGGACATATACAGACAGGACTGGAGCCACACTAGGTGACTGGCTTGCCTCTGCCTTGCAGGGAACACACAGAGCTTGGTGAAAGAACCAGCATTCAACTTTGGCCTTGGATTTCAGTAGGAAAAGATATAATGGGAAAGGAGGACTCATCAGGCAGAGGGAAAAAAAATCTGAGCAAAGGCAAGAAAGTGGAGATTTAGTAGTTTCAGGCCTGAGAGAGAAGTAGGTACAGGTTGTATGCTGAGCACACAGAAAGTGCTAACTGAACATTTCTACAACAAAACTAATCTCTACCTCAACTCCATACTCTGGACCAGATGCAGGAACAGGATGGAGTTCAATTTTGACTGAATCATGGTTTCCACACATGGTTTTGGGTGGTCGGGAATCTGAAAAGTAGTATGGGCCAAGTTGTAGAAGGTTTTAATAAGCATGGTAAAAAATATATATACTTGATTTAATAGACCATGAGGAAACCCTGAAGATTTTGAGCAGGCATGTGTTAAAAAGCAAAATTCAGCAGAGTAAATTTTGGAGCTCTAACTGGCTTTATTGAACGGTTCATCAACCAGGGAACATCCCAGCTGGCGAGCAGAAAGGAGCTCATGGAGCTGAAGGAAATGGAAGGCTTCTACAGGCAGAATGGGGGATCGTTTCAGGTTTAGGTAACCTACCACAGGGGATGGAAGGAGGCTTGGTGGCAGATTATCTCATTGGTGCTGATCAGAAATTTCCAGACTGACCGTTGAAGACTACATTCCTGGGAGAGGTTGTTAACTGCCATTAGATGAAGTACTACGTCTTCATTTGCTGATGTGAGGCCTAGCACAAGTGACCCCGTTTTGGGTCTGTTGCTTCTTTAACAGGTGTAACATGATTAAAGCTGTACTCCCAGAAAATGAACTTGACAGTCAGGTGAAGGATGGCCCAGAGCAGGGTATCTCAAACTTGCATGTAATGGCAACTCTGTTTCAGCGAGTCTGTGATCCTGCATTTCTAACAAGCTCCCTGCCTTAGAGATTCTGACCCAGGGACCCTTGGGTAGGCTCAAGGATCTGAGAACTCCGTGCAGAACAGACCAGAGGGAAAGTGAGAAGTTTCAAGCTGGGAGGACTTGCTTTGTTTAGGGCCTCAGGACAAGAAAAGGAGATAGAGAAGAAAGAAATGGCACTGGGAGAAGTCTCAAGGTAGCTCCTTGGTACAGGTAAGGCTCTGAGCTGGTGAGCTGATCTGTCCCTTCCCAGCCTTTCTGTGCACTCACGTGGGTGTTTTCTGGTGGTCTCACTTCTCTCCTTCAGCTGATTGGAGGAATTTGAGATTGACTCCAGCTTCTCCCAGAGTCCCCTCCTCAGGGGAGAGTGCCCACCAGTGTGGCAGTATTCACCAACATTCTGCTGAGAGCTTTAGGGTGTGCATACTGGGGGTCTGACCCCTGATTTCCTCTGCCTAGGCCCTGGCTTCTGGCTCTAATTCTTCCCCTCCATTCCCAGTCCTGGGCTCCATGGCAAGATCTGTTTCTGTTCTTGCATCGGGTCCAGAGTAGAGTGAGGAGATAGGGTGAAGGACATTTCTGTTGTGTAGATATTCACTTAGTGTTTTCCGTGTGAGGCATACAACCTTGGATCTTCTCTCTTGAAGCCGAAACCTCCAGATCAGAACTCCAACTGTGAATTGCTTCAGCTGTGCTTCTTTTGGACTCAGCCTTAGATTTTCACTTCCTTCCCGAGAGGCCGTGGTTCCCTTCTCCTGCCTCCTGCTTGCACCCTCAGATCCACTCTGAGAATCCCAGTTCTTCCTGATCTCCAGTAGCCTACAGCCTGTTACTCTCCCTTACTGGGTAATGATGGTGACCAAGGGGACTGGTGACAATGCCAAGTGCTATGGAGAGCTGCCGGACAATGAGAACCGGGACAGGTAATTGTGCTGCCAATTGAAAGTCATTATTGACCTTGGACTAGAGAGTAGTTTCAGCAAAAAAGTGAAGGCAGAAACCATATCATAAGTAATGAAATAAATAATGGCTGGTGAGGTCTAGAAGCAGCAAACTTAAAGTGTTCTTTGAAGAAATTTGTGGAGAAAAAGAGAAAACCGAGGCTCAAGCAAGCAGCAGGACTGAGGTTAGGAATCGTGAATAAGCCAGACAATTTATTAGGATTGTAACAAGAGAAAAATGCTCCAACAGAGACATGAGAAAAAGGAAATCCTCTTTTGCTACTTCTAGGGACATTTGTATTTGGGGAAGGGACTTTTCCAGCCTTCAGATAAGTTTCATTTTGCCTGGACAGTATATTAAAAGCATTTCAATGAATTGCCTCACTAAAAAAAATGAGAACTGTGTGTGTGTGTGTGTGTGTGTGTGTATCTCCAGATTTCTATCTGCTCTTGAAAAATGGTAAGAGTTAGCAATATTTGGGTCACAGATGTCATTTTTATTATTTGCCTGTCTCTAAAGTCATTTGAATTTGCAATGTCTGTTTTAAAGCAACCTATATTGCAGGCATAAATGAAGGTGGTAGAGCAGCTACTTTGGGGGGGGGGAAGAGACTTCCTGAGCATCCCTCAAATCTGGTAATGCTGCTGAGTCCCTACCTTGCCTAGAGATCAGATTACTGCCTGCTCATCTCAGGAAATTGCCCTTACCAGAGAGACCACGAGCAAGGGAGCCTGGGCAAAGACCAGAGCAGACCCTTTGTATTCTGCAGGATAGACTAAAAAGACGTCAATGAACTATTGTAGCTGAAAAGCAGCAGAACTCCCTTGGGATTCCTTGGAGCAACTGCTACCCCAAGCTTTCCCTGGCAGCAGGCTTCACAGGCTCGTCCAGTTCTCAACCTCAACTGCACATTAGAATTACTTTGGGATCTTAAAGCACAGATGTCCCAGAGATTTTGACTTAATTGGTTTGGGTGGGTCCTGGTTGGCAGGTGATTCTAATGTGTAGCCAGGTTAACTCCCACTGTCATGCTTTGTGGCATTAACTCCTTCCACTCCAGGCCCATGTCACCCACAGACGACAGCTTGGACATTTAGACTAGAAATTACATTTCTGAGTGCCACCCTGACACCTAACTCCACTGTGATCATCACAGCTGCCTTCCTGGCTGCTCTTTGCACACAGTAGTTAGCCCCTCGTGACGAGTTCACTGATCTTGAAATTTTAACTCTCAGTTGGCAATGCTGACCATTTGGCCCAGGCTCAATAAAGGATAATGTAGCCTCTCTTTTACTGGAGCTGCAACAAAGACCCAGGAAAAATCAAGCGGAAGAACTGAAAACCAAATGAAACAAATCTAGAAAAGAGAAGAGTGACATATGGTAAGGTGACCAGTTGCCCTAAATTGACTGGCCAATCCCAGATTTTACTGTTTTGATGAATCATTTTGGGGTGAGAATTTAGATTTCTTGTCAGAAAAGTAGGGGGCCTAGCCTAGAACAGAGGTGATTTATAAAATTTTTTGGTTGGTGTGTTGGGAGTGAGGGAAGAAATGCAAAAACTAAATAGTAGTTATCGTCTTATTAAGATTCTTAATAATTTTCCAAATATTGCTGATTTTTTAAACCACCTGTAACAGCTCTGTCCAATAGAACTTTCTAGGGAAATAGGAATGTTCTGTGCTATCCAATATGGTAGCCATTAAACACTGGTGGCAATTGAGCGCTTGAAATGAGGCTACATGACTAAGAATCTGAATTTTTTTTTTTCAAGGGCCAGCGAGAGCTCACCAGACGCCGCCGGAACCGCGACGCTTTCCAAGGCGCGGGCCCCTCTCTCGGGGGCGAACCCATTCCAGGGCGCCCTGCCCTTCAAGGAATCTGAATTTTTAATGTTATTTCATTTCAAATACTTTAAATGTAAATGAAAATAGCTGTAGGGGTTTAGTAGCTATTTGCTGTACAAGGCTTTATTTTTATTGTACTGTTGGCTACGGTAGACGGATTTTGGTGTGATTCCTCTCCCATGCCTCTTTTGTAGATAAAGAGGAGCCCTATGTATTGGACGTAGCGGACTTACCTGGGGGGTCATAATCAATTCAAACTGGGCCAATTAGACTTTCTTTTTCAAGAATCTGGAACTGAGCTACTGAAAGCCTGCATCTATTTGGTAATGGTGAGCTGAACAAGTAGGGCTGGTGCTAGAGAATGTGCCATGGACTCTCAAAGCCATATGCAACCTGAAGTTATGTTGGGGTGGAGACTAGAACATTTGCAGTGAAGAGGGGAGGGGGAAGAGAAGGACCCGGAGGAGAAGGGAAAGAGGGAAGAAATCACTTCAAATGAGTGACTGACATAATACCTGAGCTCTGTTGAACTCCATTGTTTCTAATTTGGATGTTAGAGAAGAGGAAAAGAAAGAAAGAAAGAAGGAGAAGGGAAAAACTGAAAAAAGTAAAGTAAGAAAAATCTTAATGTAAGTTCTAGAAATAATGGTGCTGCATATTGTCTAATAAGCAAGTTTAGAAGAGCCCTGTCTTCAGTTGACAAAGGTTCTTCACGTGGGAAGTTTGTTCTCTTTGATCACTTTTTGAGAAAGAGACATATAAGTCTCAGCACATAATGGTTTTCAGTAAATATTTGTTGAATGAATGAATGAACAGTGAGAAAATGAGGCACCTTCCCAGAGCAGTCATATCAACCCTTTTGTGCAATAGCTTTTTTTTTACCCCAGCCAAATCATCTTTATTTGTCGCCTGCTTTGGTTTTTAATTATTGTTTATTTGTCTTGTCCTTCCATTTTTTTCTTAAAAAATTTTTAAAATTGATATAAATTCACACACCATAAAAGTTGCCATTTTAAAATGTACAGTTCAGCGGCTTTTACTGTATTCATGTGATTGTATGATCTTCATGACTATCTAGTTCCAGAGTATTTTTCATCATCAAAAAAGATCCCCATACCCATTAGCCCTTTTCTTTCCTCTTTCTAGTCTCTAGCAATCAAGAATCCATCTGCTTTTTGCTGCGGATTTGCCTGCTCTGGATGCACAACTCCTGGGTATAGAACTAGGAGTGAAATGCTAAGTCAAGGAATGTAAAATGTATTTATAACTTTTTGAGGAACTGCTAAACTCTTTTTTACAGAAGCTGTCGCCAGTCATTTGCATTCCCACCACTAATTCTGAGGGTTGTATTTTCTCTGCATCCTCACTAACACTTATTTCCCGTCTTTAAAAATTATAGCCATCCTACTGGTTGTGAAGTGGTATTTTACTGTGTTTTTAATTTGCATTTCCCTGGTGACAAATAATGTGGAGCTTCTTTTCCTGTCCTTATCGGCCATTTGTATTTCTCCTTTGGAGAAATGTCGCCAGTTTTAAATTGGATTATTAGTCTTTTCATGGTTGAGTTGTGAAAGTCTTTATGTTTTCTGGACGTGAGATCTTTGTCAGACATGATTTGCAAAAACTGTCTTCATTCTGTGGGTTACTTTTCACTTTCTGGATGGTGTCCTTTAACCCACAGACATTTTTAATTTTGGTAAAACCCAGTTTATCTATTTTTCTATTGGTTGCTTGTGCTTTTGATGTCATACCTAAGAAAATGTTATTTAATCAAGGTCATGAAGATTTACACTTATGTCTTCTTCTGAGAGTTTTATAGTTTCTGCTCTTACATTTAGATCTTCGATCTATTTTAAGTTTTTTGGATATAATGTGATGTAGGGATCCAATTAACTTTTCCTTGTGCATATCCAGTGTCCCAGCACCATTGTTAAAAATACCATTCTCTCCCCATTGAATGGCCTTGGCTCTCTTGTCAAAACTCAACTGACCATAGATGAATGGGTTTATTACTGGACTGTCAATCATATTCCATTTTCTATACATCTTTTCTTATGCTAGTACCACTTGCTGTCGCTTTGTAGTAAGCTTTGAAATCAGAGAATATGAATACTCCAACTTTATTTTTCTTTTCCAAGACTGTTTTGGTTATTCTAGATCCCTTTCATTTCCATATGAATTTTAGGATCAATCTGTCAATTTCTGCAAAAAAGGATGTTAGAATTTTGATAGGGATTGCACTGAATCTATAGATCACTTAGGGGAGTATTGCCACCTTTAAAATATTAACCCTTCCAGTCTATGAATTTAGGGTGTCTTTCCATTTATTTGGATTTAAAAAATTTTTTCTCTTAGTAATATTTTGTACAAGCGCATGTACCTCTTTAGTTAAACTTATTCCTACGTATTTTATTCTTTTGATATTATTATAAATAGAATTGGTTTCTTAGTTTCATATTCAGATTGTCTATTGCTAGTACATAGAAAAATAGAAATATAATTGATTTTTATATATTATATCATATCCTGCAACCTTGCTGAACTGGCTTATTGGCTCTGTTAGCTTTTTTGTGGTCTCCTTAGCAGACATCCTTGTCTTGTTCCTGATCTTAGGGGGAATGCTTTCAGTCTTTCATCATTGGGTGCGATGTTAGCTGTGAGTTTTTGTATGTGCTTGTTGTCAGGTTGGGGGAATTCCCTTCTATTCCTAATCTGTTAGTGTTTTTAATCATGACAGGGTATTGGATTTTGTCAAATGCTTTTTCTAAGATGATCATATGGCTTTTCCCCTTTATTCTATTTTTATAGTGTATTACATTGATTAATTTCTTTTTGCTGAACCAATTTTGCAATCCTTGAATAAATCTCATTTACTCATGGTATATAATTCCCTTTTCCCATTGAAAATGTTTTTATTTATCTGTTTCTACCAGGCACTGTCTTGGTGAGCAAAACAGACATCTGCCATTCCAGTTATAGTACTAGCAGTATATTGTAGGATGAACTGAAGCCAGGTGAGTCTGGTGGTAAAGGAACCATTATTTCTTGAGGGAACAGATTTTTTTTTTAATTGAGGCATAGTTGATTTACAATGTTGTGCTAGCTTCTGATGTACAGTGTAGTGATTCAGTTATATATATGTATATTCTATATGTATGTGAATATATATACATATGTATTCTTTTTCATTGAGTGCATAGATTTTACTTTTACTTCTTTATATCACTCAGAGCACTCAAACAGTACTACAAATGGATCAAAAATTAGTGCACAAGATATGTAATAATCATTATTATTGCTATAATCACCAACATTAACATGAGCACAAGGTGATGACAATCTGAACTAGAATATAGATCCAAATGATAAATCTCATTTTAAGGAATAAGATAAAAATTAGAGACTGTTGGCCATAGGAGTTATTAAATTTTCTAACATTGTTAAATAATCCTTACATTCCTGGAATAAGCCTTGTTTGGTCAAGATCCTCTATTCTTTAATTTTTAAGAAAATGTTTTATTGAAAAAGAACATAGCCACGGGGGAAAAAATATTTATCTTAAATGGCCAGCTTGATGAAATTGCAAACTAAAACACCTGTGTAACCAGTACAACTCAAGAAGCAGAATGTTATCAGCACCCAATAAGGCTCCCCTCGTGCCCCATCTCACTTACTACTCCCCCCCAACCCAACAAGGATAATGACTACCCTAACTTCTAACACCACTAACTGGTTTTGTCTGCTTTTAAACCTTCATGTAAATGAATAGTAGGCTCATTTCACTCAACACTGCATTTATGAGATTTAGCCACATCATTCCATGTAGTTGTTGGTTTTTCCTTCTCCTTGGTGGATAATTTCCATTATATGAGTATGTCACAGTTTATTAACCCATTCTAATGTTATTGGGTATTTGAGTAGCTCTACTTTAGAAATATTACAAATAGTGCTGCCATGAATACTCAGTAACTATTTTGTACATGTCTCTATCTACTTTAGAAATATTACAAATAGTGCTGCCATGAATACTCAGTAACTATTTTGTACATATCTCTTTCTGTTGGTATATACTTAAGATAGAATTGCTGTCCTAAAGATCCTTTATAAAGATTTTTTTCTATTCATTATAAGGCGGACAGTTATATTTTTAAAGAAACCTTTAAATATGTTATTATTCTCCTCAGGGAACATGTAACTTCTTAAGTAAAAGTATTAGCCTGTATGTCATGCCTTATTTTGGGAATTATCTGTAGCTACACCAACCAGTACAGTAGTCATTAGCCACAGAAAGCTATTGAGCATCTGAAATGTGTTCCAAGTGTAAAATACATGATAGCCTTTGAAGATTTAGTACAAAACAAAGAATGTATATCTCAATAATTTTAAAATATTCATTATAAGTCATAGTGATAGTAGTTTAGATATACTGGGTGAAATCGAACATATTAAATTTAATTTCATATTTCTTTTTTTTTAATGTGGCTCCTAGAAAATTTTAAATTACAGAACTGGCTCACAATCATATTTCCATTGAATAGTGCTGGTCTATACTATGTAATTAAATAAATGGATAAAGATTGTCTTACAATTTTATATGTACATTACTGAAAGTTTTTTGACAAAGATCATGCTTTAAGCAACTTTGTACCCTCCAGTACTGATGCATTGTTGCTGGTGCATGCTTGATAGTTAATAAATACTTCTTAACTGTTCACTAAACTTTATCTTCTATTTTTTTTTTTAGGTTAAAAATATTCCTAAAAGAACAGGAAAAGATGATGGCAAAAGTGAATGGAAACTGAAAGAATAGGAATTGGGTATGAAAAATATTACTTAGCAAAATTTTGATATTCTTTCATCCAAAACAATGTTCTTGAATTATAATTCTTTATAGATTAACATGAAGTTTATATTATGCTTAGTGCAGCATGTGTATAAATGAAGTATTTTTAGAGTGAGTCCATTTTTATATTAACAAGAGCTTTTACTTGCTTAAAGTAATCTATTTCTTTTCTTCTTTTTCTTTTCTGCCCATTGGCAGAGTACTATGAAACACTAGTTAGTTATAAAGAAGTGGCACACTACAGATTGATTATTCATTTCACTAGATACCATCTGAATGAAAAATTGTGATCACTGCTGCAAGCCAAAGTAGCCACATCCTGCCTAGAGAATTGCTAGATATGATCGTTTTCTTGAATTATAATTTTTGCATTATGTAGCCTTTGAAAGATATAAAATATTACCTCTTAGCTTTCTTTTAGTGAGAAAAAGACCTCAAAAGGACCTTGGAATAACCTTAAACTTCATGAGAAAACTTGACGAATCAGATCTTTGTTGAAGAGTAATCTTTTGGTGCTAGGAAACAGAGACTCATTTAAAGTCACACCCAAAGTGATAGGTGTTTACTGTGAAAGGGTAACAACTAAACCACTGTTTGGGAAGTAGCTGGATCCAGTGCAGCTCTAGTCACCTGGATACTCATATCTTCTATGGGGAGCAAGTCTTTGTTGCGCTTAATGTATCACTGGGTCTCAGCTTCCCTTCGAGTCACTTCTACCACTTCGTCCCCACCCACTTTCTACTTCATCCTTGGTATTTCCTTACTCCAGTGCTTTGCTCTGTGAAGTCCCACTTTCCCTACTGTTGCCTCAAGCCCTGTCAGCTTCAGCCTTTCTATCCCGTGGCTCATTCTCTGTATTCTCCCCTTTCAATTTCCAAGGGAGAATCTGATTGGCTCACCTAATGACCTGAGTCCCTGTTTGGTGAGGACTGTTTGTACCAGGTCACCTCCTAGGGTGATGGCCAGTTTATGGACTCTGTCTCTTGGGTCACATGACTACTCTTAATCCAATCAGCTCCGGGGTGGGGCTGGGGACTTCTAGGGCAGTTATTTGTAAGACCTTTGTCCTAGGAATAGTTTGGGTCAGTTCTTTCAGCAGGGCCTGTTTCCTTTTTGATGGGACTGCAGGTACAGTAAGCATATCACATGCGCGCGCGAGCTCGCACACACACACACACACACTGGTTAAAACAACAGTGACTGAAATAAAGGATGTATGAATGAAATGACTGGATTATGCGGTTAAATGTACGGAGTAATGAATGACGATGGGAAGAAATCTATATCGACCCACTGTCAAGAATTAAATTTGTCCAAATAAAGTTTCTTTGCAGTAGGACAAATTGGTTTTCAAAAATGCATTTTCTTTTGCCAATCAGACCATCCTGCTGTCAAGTCTGTAGTTTTCTGAGCGCCCCTGCTTCTCGTTTTACAGAATCAACGTCACGTTCCTCCTAAGAGACCTCAGCATTTGGCAGGTTGGGGGCGCTTTATTTCTGACGTTAGGAGTCCCTGGCAGGAAGTCAACGTCCAGGATCAGATGTGGGGGACGGGATCCGAGGCTCCTAGTGGCGCGGAGGAAAGGTGGTGGTAATCGAAGCCCTGGGTGCGTCTTCCTAGAAGCCTCCAGCGCTCCGCCACCTGTCTGGAGTCGGCCACCTTCTCGGGCGTCTCCTCTCCTGAGTTTCCTCCTCATAGGCTTGTCCCTGGAGTGTGGGCGGCCCCATTCCTGAGCGCTTAAACTCTCACTGCTCCCCCCTCCCGCCCCTTCCTCCTCCTGCACACCAGCCTTTCTCTTTGCCTCAGTCACTTCCTTCCTCAGCCTCTTCCTCCCCAGTGCATAGAAGAAGATAACCAGTGCAGATCGACGCTGCCCTAGTTTTTCCTCGGAAAAGAAAAGAAGCCGGAGAGGTGAGTGATTGCCCTGGGAAGATGTGGCCAGGTATAATGGATGGACGTGGGTAGCGGGTGGAAGCCAAGCAGCTGGGGGAATGGTGGGCGGCGGGTGGAGAGCCGGGACGCGGAGCCCTCTAAGGCACTTAGAGGTTATAACTAGGACCGGGTTGAGCTGGAGCGGGGAACCGGGTGGGCGCGCCGCCGCACCCCACCTCTCCATCAGACTTCCGCACTGGGCTCACGTGACCTTTTGCCGGCGGGGGCGGCAGGGCAGCGAGCTGTGCGGTAAAGATTTTTTTTTTTTTTTTAACCACGGAGCAATGTGTCCGCTTTGCACTTGGGGAGCCAGTTCCACAAGACTGGTAGGGGACGGGCTAGGGGTGAGGGGATAGGCTCCCCCTGTGTCTTAAGGGCAGCGGACTATGCAGCGCGCGAGGCGGGTGCAGATCTCTACGCCCCCGGCTATATGTGCGGGGTGGGTGGTAGTGAGGGGACACTAGCGACTTGGGGAGCCCCGGGCGAGGTCCATTTTCGTCTCCCTGTTAGGGCGCTTCCTTTTGGGGCGCGCCGGGGCGCATCGACCACCGGGGAGCACGAGCCGGCAGCGCTGGCAACGGACTTGCGGAGACAAAGGCTTCCGGGATGCCGCCCTTCCTGGGGAGGCCGCCCCGGCGCCCGCCGTGCGCCCCGAACCCCGTGCTCCCCAACTCTGCACTGGTACGGGTGGTGACCATGTGGTGGCCTGCTGGGCACTGGGTCTTGGAACCCCTTCCGGGCCACCTACCAAACTTGGCGCAGGGATGACCAAATATGGAGTGTGTGCGCGCCAGCGAGGAGGCAGGAAGGAACCCAGTCATCCTCTGACCTGCATCTGCTGCTGGTCGGGGATTTGCAAAGGAGGGCTGGAAAACAGTGGCCGGCCCTTGTATGGAGAGGTGGCTCCTGATCCCCAGATGGTCCCACTCCAGTACGCTTATTCCTTCACGTTAGAAAATCTCCAGGTATTGCCTCCAAACTTAAAACAAACAACCCAAACCAACCAACCAGAGAAACAAAAGCTATTAAGAGGGTCCTTAAACATATTCTTACGTGCATTTTGATGGTGGAGCATTTCAGCATATGGCCCAATCCTCCCACATTCCACTTCCTTTGTGATTCCCACGCACAATGCCTAATTGGATTCTGTCACAATTAGAGGGCTCGACTAGCATCTGCCATCGCCTTCCCCCAAGCCTCCCATTGAGGGGCTCTTTCTTTCCCTTAGACTTGCTCTGCCCGGGGGCTCACCTCATTGTTCTTGATCTTGCTGCCTAACACCCATCTCAGGCTTCTGTCCTTATAAAATGCCATGGGCCTCCCAAGGATTGTGCAACAATGAGTAGTTTATACTCCTTTGTCCTCATTAAATAAAGAAAGAAACCATGCCAAATTATGTATGCGAGCAATAGTTTCTAAGCCTGTTAATTTCCTACTTGGAAGGGTCTGTGCAGGGAGCCTTTCTTGCTTTGTAAGAGTTCTGCCTTCGTAAGTACTCAGCATGCATTGTTTCACACAAATACAACTTACTGTTATATTTAGTGCAGTTTGCATGATACCCAGCATAGAAAAAGAGAGAGAGAAGCAGAGTGATGCAGTAGAGACAGCATTTAGCTGTAGGAAGCTCCTCTGAGTCAGTTTCATCATCTGGAAAATGGGGGTAGATAATACTTGGCAAGGTCCTTAGGTTTACATGAATTAACACAGGTAAGGAGTCTCAGGTGTAATTAATGACAAAGAAGTTCTGATTGCCTCCCCTTAAAATTGGATGAACACACAGCTGCTTAATATGATGTAGGTATTCATACTACATAATAGTGGGGTTTCCTCTTGCAGTCTCATTATTAAAGGAGAACTGGGCTGGTGTGTGTGGCTGGTGGTGGGTGGAAGGCATGGAGAACGATGTGAAAGAGACAAATGTTCAGAGTGGGAGGAAATCAAAGAATCTGAGAACTAGAAAGGACTGTAATCCCCTTGAATATTTTCCTTTCTCTTTTGATTTCCAGTGTGGGCTAATTTCTTCATCAACCCTCACAAATCCATACTATTTCTGCAAACTTTCTTCATTGTTAGGCTGTTTTAATTGTTAGAGAAATTTTTTCTCATATGACTTCTAAATCTGCCTTTCTGTTCCATTTATCCATCCTACCTGCAACACAAAACAAGACTAGTCACATAAGTACATAAAAGGAGCTTTAATTAAAAAAAAATAGCAGGTGTTCTCTAGGGTAACTTTAAAAGTCAAGATTCTTTAGAATGCAAGTGACAGGAACTTTATCAAACCAGCACAAGCAAAACCAGGAAAGATTGATTGGCTCCTGTAACTGGAAAGTCCAAGGTCATCTACAGGCTTAATCATTGTTATGTGGGTGGATTTTTATTTGTGTTAGCTTTATTCCTGGCAGGCTTTTTTCACGTGGTAGCATTTACATAGGGGCCATAAACTTACATCTTAGAACCCGGTAGGGCAATGTTGTTTTACTCGTAGTCCTGGCAGAATTCCTGGGCTGAACCCATTGTTCAGGATGGGGTCACCTAGCGTATGCCTCAAACCAGTTATCCTGACTTTGAACCACTCCTGGAATCCAGGGTGAGGCTCTATCCAAGATACATGGGTTTAAAGCAGGGAAGAAAAGGCTCTATTCAAACAAGAATTAGACTTCTGGTGCCAGAAGGCAGAATGGGTCCTGAGCAGGGAAATATGACAGCTGTTCACCGCACTGACATTGACAGGTTTTTTTGTTTTTTGTTTTGTTTGTTTTTTACCATTATTCTCATGCTGTGTCTTTGAGTGTGTCCTCTGGTTATATTTTAGCTTTTTAGTGCCTCTCTTAAACTGTGTCTTGAATTAAGTATAATTTTATAAATATAATTTCATCAATATAAGGTTCCTACATTTGGAGACTATAATTCTTGTTATTGGATTTGATGTAGATGCATTAATCTAAGAATCTTCTTAAATTATGAGATTTACCCAAAAGTGTAGCAGATGCTGCTTTTAATCATTAATTGATAGAAATCTGGGGTCCCAATCAATATCATTTAAACACAGATGTAATTCTTGTTTTTTTAAAAGCTACCAAGAATTAGTTACAATCTGTCTGAATGTTTCTTCCAAATCATCACCCCAAAGTAAACCATTCACACTATTCCACCCTTTTAGTCCCTTATTTTATTTGTAAAACTTACGATTTCAGGCTGACTGAATTGATGCCTCTTCTGCCCAGCTGCTCATACTTTGTGATCCTCATGTGGCTGTTTTCACTGTAAATTATTGTCTTCCTGTGGAAACATCCTTCTTTCTTTACTTCTTTACTTCTTTGACCCAACAGAGTTGGGGTTCTCTCCTCCACGTCTACCTGCTTTCCTATTTCTTGCTGGTGTTTCTCTCCTTCCACTTTCTGTGTGTTTGCCAGGCCCCTTTACCTTCCCTGTTCTGTCTCTGAGTGTGCTTCCTCCCTCCCAGAGTGCCTCTCTGTTCCTCACTGAAATCAGCAGCTCCATGGTAACAACTCCCACAGGTGTGGGTCCATCCCCTCTCATGTCTCTGCTCATTATTCAGTCTGCAAACCAATTATTTATTGAATTCCAGCTCTTGGTGCCAGATATGATTCAGCAGTGAGCATAACACTAGAGGAGTTCACTGTCTAGTGGTTAAAGCCGAGAAACTGGTCATTACGATCAAGTGAAATGAAGAGGGTGCACGATGCTGTGGTAACACACATGGGGGTGCTCTCCTACACCAGGGTTTCAGGGAAGGCTTCCTGGAGGAGGTGATGTCTCACCTCGGACTGGATGTGTGGAAGTTAGCCCCAAGAAAGAGGACTAGCTGGAGCCCATGTTGAAGAAGAAAGAGTATGTGTAAAGGCTGGAGGTGAGTGAGGGGCATCTGAGGAATAAAAAGAAGTCCCAGGTAGCTGCCACCTGGAATTCAAGGGGGTGGATTTGAGGTGGCTGGAATGGTGGGCAGAATCCAGCCTGTGGAGGACTAGGGAGCCAAGGGAAGTCTCACAGCTCCTGTCAGTCCTGGACTCCTCCTTAACCAAAGATGAACAGTCTTCACCACAAGCTCTCCATTGCAGTCAGGTTGAAGGGGCGCTGCTGGGGAAAGACATTATGCCCCTGTGTGTGACCCAGAAGTCATCATGGCACTGACCCGATGGTTTTAAAATTGCCTCGTGGATCCGCCTTCCTCACTAGACCACAGGTTCCCAGAGCCAGGGGATTGTGTTGGTTTATCTCGGTACCTCCAGCTCCTGGCTTAGGGCTTGCCCAAAGTGTGCTGCGGTTTTTTTGGTTTTGGTTTTGGTTTCGGTTTTGGTTTCTGTGCTTTTGTAAATGCTCT